GACTTTGCCACTGGGCCGCTCGTGGGTAGCCACTGCATTTATGAATATGATAAACAAAACCCCAGGAGTTAAAAATATCCTAAACCCCTTCCTTTGTATGCCTAGAAAAATAAGACCATTGCTTTGTTGGGTGCCATAATATATAATCACAAAGGCATCATCTGCAATGAAGCGGCACACGAATTTGAAAAGCAGACTTTACTTCTGACTTCTATATCCTTCAGCATGTCATCACCAGCATCTTATATGAAGATACACACATTTCACAGACTTCTTGAAAAGTGGCAGGAAAGGTAGAACTTGAGCTTGACTGTTAGGATCATAGATTATAGCATCTGCTTGTTCTTCACAGACCATGGCTCGCTCCCATCCTATATGTATCGTTTCAGCGTTAAAGGGAATCTCGGCTGATACAGCACACCTGGCGGCTGCCCATACATTTGTGTATCCCAGTTACTGAGCATTGTAAGCATAGATGGATGATACCAACCAAAAAAAAATCAAGGTTCAGAAAATATCCTCAGTGTTTACTTGTTCTGCATCACTTATTTATATAGAATGATTACACATAATGACTTTTACACTCACTTAGTTCTGCATGATCAATATACTTGTTTTTAATGTGAACGTATTATGAAGCTTATATTTGCAGATATCTTTATTATTGATATTGCACATTTATACATAATGTGTTATTTTTTTTTTTGATGCTGTATATAGTTGTTTTTCTTGCTACTAATTCATATAGTGTGTAGTTTACATGTAAACTGTAATTATTGTTTAGTATATATAGCACATGGTTTCATATTCACAAAATATGTTTTCTTGAACCTTGTTTATGGTAAGAATTGTGATACTAACCTGCCTTTGAAAAAATGAAAATGGCGCTTCACATCTAAACACCTCTACACGCAAATAATTTTGCATATACAGTCAAGATGTATCAGAGCACAACAAGTTTTCAAACATTTTTTAAAGAAGAATTAAATTTTGAAGTTAAACAAAGTACTTTTCTTACACATATATTACGGTTAGACGAATTCGAAAATCGTAAAAACAATAGAAAATAAATTAAAGAATTATACAATCCATGCATACAAACTTCGCCGTTCGTTTGCAAGAATTGTATAATGTTATATTACAATTGTTTTGATGATCAAAAATGTATGGGGATACACAAGCATATTCCATTAACAAAGACTCCAAAAACTTACTTTAATAACGTGTTCGGCTTCCTTTTCTTTTTATTACAGTATTTTAGGCATAGATTTCTCAAGATTTTGACAAAGATGTGACATTTTCTTTCGATTTCTGGCACTATTTAAAATTTATACATTATGTCTTATGCATAATACTTAATGTGCTCAACCGGATTAAATTCTTTATCTTATCTTATACATGATATCCTAAATATGCTCAATAGGATTAAAGTCCGGACTCTACGCAGACATTTTGATTAGAGGTGGACCATTATATTTAAAGTCTACAGTCTACAGTTTTCTACAGTCTACTACAAAAAAAATCTTGTGCTTGGGATTATAGTACTGATGAAAACAGTAGAGAGAATTTATGGCCTATATTTTGAGCACTTTATTTCAAGTTTTGTGACATAAGTGTAATTATTTAGTCATAAATAAAATGTAGATTTTTCAGGCTGCAAACGCTCATACAGCCTCAGAATGTTTGGCAATCTCCACCACGTTTTACATAAGGAGCAAGTTCAGTATTAGATTTTCGCCTCACCATTCGTTTTCCATCATCATTCCAAAAATATTGAATTTATTTTCATTTACAAATGCAACCAAATTCCAAAACCCTGAAGGCTTTTTATAGATATTGGAGAAGCTGTTTATACTTTGTTATCGCTTAAATTTGGGTTACAGTATTTCAGAATTACATTATGATCAGTAGATTTGCTTACAATTCTAAATTCACCCATCTTTATTTCAGATTTTCCGCTATTCCAAAGAAAAATTTAATTTTTTTTTCAACTCAAAAGAAACCACCGAATTTTTTCAATCCATGTTAGCAAAGCAGTTCTTTATATTTTCAGGTTTATAATCATTCTTCAAGGCGTTTTATAAGTAAAATCTACCAGAATTGTTTATCTCATCGTTACTTCAGTGTTTATATAGCATATATATTCCTAATACTTTATTTTATTTACTCTAAATTTTAACTTCTCGTGTTCCATAAAGTATATGCGAGACTTACATAATTAAGTTATAGTATTAAAACATAAATAAACAAATGTATGATAGCACTGCAAATTGATGAAAAATTATTAAAAAAGAGAAAAATAAAATATTTTATTTTAAAAAAAATCTCAAAGATTTCAAATTTTATATTACACTGAAAGAAGCGTTTGTTTAATTAACACACACGTACACGTTTTGAAAGCGTATAGGCTAAAAATATTTAAAAACAACATATCTTAAGAATTCGATAGTCTCGTGCGCTGGAGGTAAAAATGTTTTATTCCGTACAGAGTTGCTGCTCGCTTTGAAATCGTGAAGTTTTTTAACCAAAAATTAATTAAAATTTTACAAAATCTGAACTACATAATAAAACAAATTCGAAATTCTGGCTTCCTGGTCCCATATTCGGGTGGGAGACTACGTTATTCAAAATTTGACGGCTTTAAGATCCGTTGTTTTTTCACAATGCGACAGACATACATACATTCATGTAGATTCTTCACTATTTAATTTCTTTAAATATAATAGATGACGACAATATTTGGTGGCAACAATTTGAAAAATGAGTCAACGCTTTTAGTGATTCGATTTATAATGTCGCTTCTAGATTAATAGCCATTCTGGGCTAAAAAGTCATAAAATAAAAATTGAGTAATCTAAATTGAGAATTAAATTCTAAAAAATCGAAATTGTCTCTTTAGTCCAAAAAAGTTCAGAAAAATAACTGTAATTTTCTATTTAAAGAAAACTAGATTATTTATTAGTTTTGTTTAATTTATTCATCATTATATACTTATCAGGTACTTAGATCCAAAAATGAAAAGCACCTGAAATTTTATCATTAAATATTTAGAAGTTCCCTGTGCCTCAACACAATTTTGGATCACTAAATTCTTTACTATTCAAACTTCGTGGCAAAGAGACATCTATTCCTTTTTAAACTTTAGATGGGAATAAAGTATATACGATTCTAGAATTATATTATTCATCGACGCTTTAGTTAACTAAGTATTGTTGTAAGTTTCGAAAGAAATCTGAAATATGGAAAAGTAAGCAACTGACATTCATCTCAAAGCAAAGATAGAGATACTTAAACCTCCGTACCTGTATGATCAGAAAATCGTCTATCACATGACCTTAAAAAAATCGATTGACTTGTATCCTGGGTAGCAACCTACTCTTTTATCTTCTAATAGCTAGTGAATTGACCATTAACAACCAGAGCTTTACACTTATAAACAGCTATACAATATTTTCTTTATTAAAAAATAGAATTATTGTCATGTAGTGTCATAAGGGGGAACTAAAATTCAAATTTTGTAATAGTTATAACCAGCTCCACTTCAAGTATTATTTCAGCAGATATTTCAAATTCGTGTAAATGTTATTTGTTCTGTGTGTGTTTAAATTACAACATGATTATTGTCTAACATGTATATGATTAGATGTATACAAAATTATATGCTGCACTTGCATGTTTCTGATTGGTTTTGTTTACGTGATTACGGCATAGCCTCGAAAGCTACCTGCCTAAGGGGAGGGATGCCTTTGTGGAGGACGTTAAGGGAAACTGGCTCGTATACATGTTACACATGGGGAAACCAACTACATGTTGCTGATGGAAGAACATCTAAATGTGACCTATAAACACCTGTGAATGAAAGCAACAGGTGATCATATTGCGTTAAATCATTCGAAATCTTCCAGGCTTTAAACATTCGCGTATTTAATTTTGCATGTTTAGGTTTAAACGTGCAAAATGGGTTTTCTGTATTTAATTTTATAACATAGAATGTCTCAAAGGGGTAAATATCAAATTATTTTAAATAATATTCTGCCGTTTAAAAGTGAAGCTTATCCTATGAACGGAGCTAAAAAAATGAAAGAAAGAGAGATGAGTGCAATAAAATGAAATATGTGAAAAGCATTTCTATCTTTATGTTACGACAAAATAACAAAGCGTAAACCTAAATAATATGCTTTTCATCAATAGTTTTTAAAGCGCAAAAACCTTTTTATGGTATCTTGACAATGCTGCCCAAAAGCTCATACCACATCCTTAAGATATCTCGGAATAGCCCCCTAACTTCTCAAATAAATCCTTTAGAGTGCTTAATCTCACATCTCAATACACCTTCGTCGAGTTTCTCAGTAGTGTATGGGAAGTTGTAAGGATTTTGAATCCTACTTACCACATCGTCAAGACATCACGAATTAACCTACTAACCTCCTGAGCACATCCCCAGAACATCCTCGTTCAGTTCTCTCAATACTGTATGGAAAGTTGTAAAGATTTTAAATCCTACGTACCACATCGTCAAGACATCCCAGAATATCACGTTAACCTCCTAAGCACACCTCCAGATCATCCTCGTTGAATTCTCTCAATAGTGTGTGGGAAGGTTTACGGATTTTAGATCCTATTTACCCCATCTTCAAGACATTCCGGAATATCCTATTAACCTCCACAACTTCATATCATCCTCGTTGAATTCTCTCAATAGTGTGTGGGAAGATTTAAGGATTTTAAATCCTACTTACCACATCTTCAAGACATCACGGAATATCCAGTTAACTTCCTAAGCATATCCTCCATAGTACTTGATATCGTGTCTCAGTATATCCCCCTCTCTAGATCCCCTCGACAGTGTGCTGGATGTTGTGAAGATTTAAAATTCGTAAATCATGTCCAGTATGATTAAATGTTAATAACATGCAATTAGCTTTACCTAAAATATTATCAAAATATTTTAATCCTGGAATTTGTAGCACTGCTTAATCACATGTCGTTTTTCCTTTCAGCCGAAGAAGGTGCTATGGATTACATCCGGGAGTTCGACATCCGGCTGGAGAAGGAAATGTATTACGCGGGAGAGACATTGTCCGGCCATGTTATATTGGACACAGTCGAAAACTTCAAGTTAAAAGGTACTTGATTAATGTTTTTGCATTCCTTCTTAGGAAACCTCGCTATATTATGCCATTAGAAAAATAAAAAAATGAACTCTTAGCTCAAATAGTAAAATCTTTTTACAAACCAATCGGATTAACATGATTAAATATTTTCATCTAGGAGCATAGAAATTATCTATACATTTTATCACCAGCATTACGAGCATTGTCAACAATAATGACATATAAACGTACGACAGGGTAATAATTTATCATAAGACTCTTATAGGCGTTTCCAATAGATATTTTAAATTTTATTACTCTTGGGTGGTCCAAATATTATGACACTGTTTGGGACATCGCGAAACGAAGTAAGCCTGAGTTTCTGAACAGTTTGGTAGCTATCTAAGCTAAATAAATGTTTTTAGATATGCAAAAGCTTTGTTAAAAAGTAATTTTTTATTAAAAATAGGTTTGTGCAATTATCGATAACGTTAATAGCGTTTTAGTTACTAAAACATTTCCTTTTAAAGATGAATAATAAAACATTTCCTTATAAAGATGAACTGAGCAGACGTCACAAATATATGTCGTTTTGCCTATTTTTTATACACGTGGAAATTACAACATGGATATTCTTGTTTTTCTTCACTAAAACCTTTATATAAACCATGCTCTTGCATGTCACCGGATAATTGTCCTGGTGCATTGAAAAACACGTGGACTGAAGTAGGGCTTGAGATTAGATGCTGATCATCATTCCTTGGTTCTTCATTTGCCAAATTTTCACCACTTCAAGCAGTAAGGTTCTATCTGTTAAGTTTTCTTTGTAAAGTTTTCGCTTCTTATGCATCATAAATCAATTGAATATTGCAATTTAATTCCGGTGTATTAAGTTTTACTACAGAGTAATTTTGATTCGTTATATAACCTCTGACAGATATCACCATCAAAGAACATGCCTGCAGTTTCAGAAATACTTGTAGGATAGAGAAAGTTTGTTTTATGCCTTTATTTTCTGTACATAGACCCTACACAGAAAATCTTTCCTGTTTTGTTTGTATTTCATCAAGATATCGTCACTGACAGGCAAGTATTCGACATTACAATTCGAAATAATAATCACGATTGTTTCAAGAATAACAAGTATATTTATTTCAAAATTAGTCTTGCAAAACTTTCATCGGCAGAATAACAGCGAGACCGTACATAAGATTACACACAAAATTATAACGCCATTTTGAATAAAATATAATTATATAACATATAAGAATATAATTATATAAATTGCGTTATTATTATATTTTGAATAAAATGGCGTTATAATGTCTGCGAAATATTTATAGCGTTAAATTTTAAAGTTTAAAACGTTAAGTCTTGCACAAATGAATACGAACACTAGCAGAAAACGCAGAGTGCAATGCAACAATTTTGCCGATGTTAATTTTCAGATGATGATTCCGATTATGTTAATTGTTTCAGTTCTGAAGATACTTCTTCAGAGTCAAAATATCTTAAATGTATTACGTTCGGCCGTATTGTACGTGACTGTTGAGAATCGCCGACTAGTTTAATTTAAGGGTCAACTACGTTAAGTATTTGTGAGTAGCTTCGGCTAAATATTAGATTAGTTCTTATTTCCTTATTCTGATTTAAAAGACAGAGTGGAGGTTTGCCTGTAAGCCTAAGAAGGGGCCATCTTTTATTATTTCTTTGAGTGAATAAAAGGGTATTTTAACCCTTCTTAAGTCGCTGTAACTACTACTTGAACTCAGCGATAATTTGCTACTTAGTTCACTTGGTTCCTCGATATTAGATATAGACAAAGTATTGAGGAACATTATAACTCAAAGAACATATATAGTATAAGTAATATACTAAGTGAGCAATTAATGAATCCGGTACTTTTAGCTTCTGACTGTAGACATGGCTTGGTTGATAAGGCAGGAATTAAACGTTGACAAAACTAATTTCGGTGAATTACCATCTTTATTTTTAGGCACATCAAATATTACTTCCTTGGCAGACAAATTACTTTTGATCATAGCTGAATACAAATAATTTTTATATACACAGATAAAAAGCTACGACGTCATTTCAGGGAGGGAAGCATAAGCGGCGTGAAGTGTTTACGTGGCAGAAAACGGGAGAAAAAAAAAAAGAAAGTGTAGTGCTCGTGATTCAGTATTTATACTTCGTAGGTGCAGAGAGTATTCTAAGCTATGATTGGTCAATATTAGTTGTAGTTACCTTTTTCAAGCAGTGTTATGTAATTTGTAATGATCTCTAATTTGGGAGAACAGATGAATTTAGAATGTCAATTTTGAGGACGCCAGTTACTTTTTAAAGCAGCCATCGTATTTTGTTATATTAATGGCGCAGCCGATTTTCGAACCAACACACGTCTCAAGTGCGTGGAACTCCCAATGCAGAGTTTATTCAACTTATCTATCATCCCTTAACTAATGCATATAATAAAGAAAGTGTACATCACTACTCGAATTCTGAATCAGGCCAAGTATACTGTAACTTCGAACTATGGTGCGCGAAAATTTATTTTTTAAAGCTTTATAGGCAGCGTGTTTTTCAACAAGTATGAAAGTGATTTTACAACGTCTTCAAAACTGCTTATCTTATTTTGAAAGTGAAATATCAATTTTAAGTTTCTCTGCGGCTGCATTAGTGCGGATAAACTTGCTCGGTAATTGGTTATATTTTGAAATCTGAAATCTGTTTTCTTACAATAGTGGATTGATAGAAAAGCAGTGCTTTATGAAAATATCAAATTAAAATGTATAAGTATTCTAAGATTTTATTCTGGGAAGATTATTAAATTTCGTTATTAGTAAGTATAAATTTTTAATTAATGTTAAACATTTTGGAATTATTTTGTTAACAAGATAAGATATTTGGAATTATTTTGTAAAGATTTTTGTTTAAAAATTTGAATTTTAAGAATTTTCTATTTATTTTGAGAATGATGTGAAATATAAATGAAATAATTATTAAATGGAAGAATAATTAAATATTGCTAAAATTAATACAAATACCAAAGATTTAAGAAATTAAATAATCGTAATAAGGTTTCTATGAGAATTTAATTAAGAGTAAAATGTATTAAAATTTGTTTGGAATTATGGTAAATGAATGTTACAATTATCAATAATTGTATATTAAATAGAGAGTATGATGAGGGAGTACTGGTTCAAAATAGAGCCTTTGTTTTTTATCTCTGTGATCTGTTCTTTTACCCTCCTCATGCCATATAAACTTTGAAGGCTCCCACTTTAATTTTTTATGCAAGATTTTTATTTTTTCATATAATGGAGTGTGATTTTTTTTAATAAATGGAATGTGTAGTGCAATTCAAAAAGGCCAGTTGCCTTTAAACAAGGAACGGAGTCATTTATAAATAACTGCCAAAGCAACCCTTAACCACTCTTGAAAATTTAATGCGAGAACTCGTTTAAGTGGTTATGCCAAAATAGCTGGATATGTGTGTACAACGAGAAAGCTGTAGGATCTTCGTTTGTGTAAAATGACAAAATTGTAAAATGTAATAATGATAGTAAAAACCATAATTTCAATAATGCTATAACAAATGATAAAATATTACTTATAAATGTGAAAATTAGTATGGTGTAAAATTTTAACATTTATGATTATTCGTAATAATTACTGGGTACATAAATTTTTTAATTGTGATATTGTGTGTAAAAATTTTGGAAATCGTTCCCTGAAGTATCAAAATTGTGTGATGAGAAGAAGAACTTTTACAGATTGGACTCAAATCTTAATAGGACTCTCAAAAATGTGTAATTATTTTGAAGGAATATAATGCTTCAAATTATTACTGAATTCAAAATTTTACTACTTTATAATTTTAATCGTTCAAAAGTTAATTTTATGTTTTGTATTTGCAAAATTATCTCTCTCATGTTCTGCTACTCTAATGCATTTTCTCTCAAAAAGGCTTCTCTGTCTCTCCGCCTTTTTCTTTTGAAAGGGGGGAATGTGCAAGATAAAAAATATGAAAGCAAACTTCTAATTTTAATTGACTATAATCTCTTTTATTTTATATTTAATTTGGGGACTTCATGTACTAAAAAAAGCACAGTTCGCATGCGAGCTGCGCATTCTAACTGCGCGAAGTCTAAACTCTGCGGTATTTAAATTAATCATGCGATTTCTACGTAACACTTAATACAGATACCTCTTGCCCAATCAAATAATCATACACCAAAACTTAAAAAAACAAACTTTTGACTTCCTCCCCCCTTAATCTGAACTCATGCGTCACTTTTTGCTTGTGCTATCTTCCTGGCCAGACGCTTTGCTATAATCATCTTTGTGCTGCTGTGATCGCTTCTATCGCCATAGTATCAAAATTGCGAATGTCCTGGAAATAGGCACGATTGGAGTGCCAAGTGAATTGTGAACACAGATGTGAATTTAAATAAATGTGGAATTTAATCTGGCTCGACTGCTTTTTCAAAATAGATGGACGCTCTAAGCATCAAGTATCTACGCCATCAGTATTTCTGCGAATCTACACTGTAGTGTTCTTCTTACATCAGTGCTTTCAAAATTATGCTATTATTACATATATATATATATATATATATATATACGCTGTCTTTTCTCCATATTAAAAGTTGACATTCTGTAACGTCCATAAATAGAATTATATTTCAGAAACCCATAAACAGCAAATGGAGGTCAGCTAACCATTCAACTATTGCTGTGTCTGTTAAAAATGGAAGTAATCTACCACAGTTTTATATATTCAGCTTACCTGTAATTATTATCGTCTGCGTATTCTGTCAAGTATAAAGTGAAGTTGCATGTTTATTTTCGGGATACGCTATATTTCCTAGAAGAAACATTAATACACATTAAGAACTACACACATTTCGCGACGAATTTTATTATCTACAATGTAAATAAAAAACTATATCAAAATTTATTAAAATATAAACTAGAAAATTTTAGGTAATACAAAAGAATAAAAGATTTTTCGAACACTTAGCTTGTGACCATTAAAAATTGGTTATGAAATTACACACAAATAGTTATTCTTCAATTATAAAAATATTCTACAGAAATCCATGATCTTCATTCTGCAGACGACACACCGGCGTGGTTCAGGTAACTTATTGAAACATGGCAAACACAACAGGTGACCGCATCGAGAAGAGTGCAGACCCTGTCCCCTCTTTTGAATGTTGTCATAACTACGTCGACAAGAAGGACATCGAATGTCTGGCGAGTGCCTTTGCCTCTTTTTTGGTGGCTTCGGTTTTTCTGAATGTTTTGGTCGATGGGCGTCTAAAAGGAAAGCAAAGATTTGGTAAAATGCCCTTTCCAAATAAATTAACAACCAAAAATTACTGAAGAATCGATTCAAATTTGTCTGAAGAATGAAATGCAAGGTTTGATTTTTAACTTCGAGCCCCATAAATGTCCTTTATATGCTCTTTTTATAAGATTATTTTTACAGGTATATTCGAAACCGGAGACAGATTCTGTAACCAAGTCTTTGAGCTGAAGACATAAACCGTCTATCCAAAGTTGATGGTAAACTCACATAAGATTGAGAAACTTTTGTCAAATTAATATATGCATATAAAGCCACATTTACTGCATCATACACTGCTCGACATTGAAAATGCAACACCAAGAAGGAGTGGTCAGAAAGTGATGAAATTTGGAAAAAAGACAGAGACAGCAAGCAATTGATCTTTATTTCAAAATGATAGCCAGAATACAGAGCAAGAACGGCGTCGGCTCAGTAGGATGTAGGACCACCGCGGACAGCGGTGCGAAGAAACACGTCTAGGCATAGGGTCAATAAGAATGCGGATGGTGTCCTGAGGGATGGATCTCCATCCCCTTTCAACCATTTGCCACAGTTCGTCTTCTGAACGAGGCAGGGACAGAGTCTACAAACGGTGTCCAATCACATCCCACACATGTTCGATTGGTGACAGGTCAGGAGATTACGGTGGCCAGGGAAGCATCTGTATACCTTGCAGAGCATGTTGGCAGATGCGAGCACTGTGTGGTCGAGCATTATGCTACTGAAAAATTGCATTAGGCAGCCCCAGAAGGTAGGGGATTGCCACCAGCCGCAGTACATTATCCAAGTATCGTTGGGCCATCACAGTGCCCTGAATACGAAGTAGAGGTGCTTTGGAATCGTAGGGAATAGCGCTCCAAACCATTATGCCACGTTGTTGCGCGGTGGGGCGTTCCACAGTTACTGCCGGACTAGATCTGTCTCCACGTCGACGCCATATACGTATGCGGCGACTGCCACTGGATAAACTGAAGCGTGACTCATCTGAGAACACGACGTTTCGCCACATTCACATCGCTCCAGGTCGGCACCATTCTAAACGTTGGCGTCAATGCTGTTCGGTCAATAGCAGTCTTCTTAACGGACGCCGTGAGTGCAGGCCACGTTCAACCAATCGACGGGAAATGGTTCTGGTCGACGCGGGAACATTCAGGGTATCTTGCACATGCTGCAGAATCGCGGTACAAGTAACTTGCGGGACCGCAACAGCTTCTCGGCGGATGCGTCTATCCACGCGTGCTGATGTCACTCTGGCTGCACCTGCACCCCTCCTTCTTTCCACATTTCCTTGTTCCAACCATGTTCGCCATAGCCGATGCACCGTGCTCGCATCCATGTGGGTATCACTGCGATTTGACGTAAGGATCAACCCGCCCTTCTCAGTCCGATCACCATACCCCTCGTAAAATCGTCCATCTGCTGGAAGTGGCTTTGTGGACGGCGGCCTGGCATTCTCTCCTATTACACGTATCCTCCGGGACAAAAACCAACTTTCTTCGATAATTCGTCTGGCAGAAATAGCGACACGAATATTGCCCATTCTGCACGTTCCTTCCCTTCTATCTTACTTCACATGCGTCGGAGAGCTGCACATTTCACATCATTCGCATAACTCAGTGACGTGCGTCTACTCTAAAATTTGCATAAATTTCTGACCACTCATTCATGGTGTTGCATTTTCAATATCGAGCAGTGTATTTTTAGCCCCTCTTTCATGAATGTTATTCTTTAACTGAATATATATTTAATGAAAATTATTCATTATAGCAAGTGGACGGAGCAAATTTTCTGTTACTGTTAAAAATGAAAGTATGTTGTACTTGTTATGACCGCAGTCACCGTAGAGGAAAGTCCAAATGGATTGCTGAAACACGAAGTATTTAATAGGCTTGAAATTTGCGACCTCGATAAGACATTTAAATGTTTAGGGCTACAGCGCATATGATTTGCATATGAGCCAATAATGCTCCATAGAAGAACTGTAAGAATGGAGAACAATAGGCTATTTTAAATACCGGAATTGCGTGCTTTCATGCTGTTCTTCTGCTACGTAAGTCTTTCGAACAAGTTCCTCAATTTGACAGAAGAATTGTGACTTAAATAGACTGTCTATTATGTGGCTGTTTCAGACACAGCAACCGACGGGATTTATCACACAAGCCTCGTCGCACCACTGAATAAGAAGACAGGCATGTCGTAAGCATGGCAACAACATACTGCGCAACAACATTAAGAACCTAGCGAAAATTATGGATCTGCACAACAACCTGCACCATTCGACATTGTATGTAGGGGAAGGGAATCTTTATTAACCCTCCGAACGCGGGATCCATCATAACGCGTTAACCATTCATACTGAATGCGCGAAGATCGTTCTTACAGCGTTGACAGAAACTAATAGGATTTCAAAGGCGATCGGTTTCGTAAGAAGACAAGGTGCATGTGCATGTGCGTGTATATGTATATATATGTAATGAAGGAAACTTAGCTGTAACAATACTGTAGAAACATCTGATGACGTAGATGGAGAAATATGGCATTTCATCGTTGTAATATCAAAATAGACTTAGAAGTAATGATAGTGTAGAAGTATTGATAGCACGGAATGTTGATCCATGATGAACAGCAAATTTGGCAGCTGAGGCAGATTTAATATTCATCTTTATTTCAGTAAACCAGTTGCGGCCATAACCAAAATGACACACTACTCGTGCCTTTTCAGGAACATTTACATTTTGCATAGCTTTGCGGTAAAAAAGTGAAGCAGCAGTCTATGAAAGCCGAAGTGCGAAAAGCAAGTGAGTTGTGTTCAGGATAAAATCATTCAGGATGAGTTCGTTTCGCTTCTCAATACATTTGACTGGATAATTAACGCTGCTGTAAAATTATTATTGGGTGTTCGAGTTTTGGTTCCATTTACATCACCAGGTTCATGTAAGAGTCACATGACATGGGTTAATCTCGAAATGACACAATACAGGAAAAGATAGCTGTTATTAGAATACAGGGGAAATACTCAAATTAAAATTAAGCATTAAGGGACTATTACTAATTTTAGTATTTTTTTATCTTGCTTACATATTATATACGCGCGTGCGTGTGTGTGTCCGCACACCACAGGCATATGCTTCTGCAGTAAGGCGTTGAACGCTGGGCACAGATTGGTTTCGTTTATGTGATTACAGCAAAGCCTCGACAGCTATCTGCCTAAGGGGAGGTATGCCTTCGTAGAAGACTTTCTAAAGGAAACTGGCTCGTATACACATTACACATCGGGAAAACCACGAAAACGCCCATGCAGCCGGCCCGTTCGCGGGTTCGAAACTCCGATCGAACTATCGGTGTGCAGCGACTTTACCGTTCGGCCGCTGGTGGGCATCCTCAGACATGAGATCTTACCTTCAATACAGATTTCTAAACAGTTGTTTCTCGAGTGTTACGTTTCGATGCAACATAATAGCTCATCTTTATATTTGAAATGTAATTCATCTCTAATGAGATGAATTCCATTTGAAACTATAGAATGCAATGAGATGAGTATTTATAAAGCTGTAATATCACTTATAAGCTCACTTCACTCACTTTTATAAAAGTTCATAAGTGAGCTTTTATACAGCTGTATTATAACTTCATAATAATATACGCTCTTTATTTTTAAATAATATATATAAGCAACATAATTTAAATATATAATATCATACAATTAATACAAACTACGCATAATGGCATGTAATAATTTTAAAATGCATGTAAAAATGTTGTAAAACTAGAGAGATTAATTCGTTTGTGAAGAACGTTTTACGTGTTTTAACATATATTTCTAACTTTTAAGAGGAATTAAAATTCCCTCTTAAATTTATGGATAAAGCAATAGACTGCAAGAATGTGTTTAAAATAGTATATAAGAACCTTTAAAAATCAGTGAAACGCAAAAATTTCTTTCCTTCTATGTATTACCTCACTTCCAGAAAATTCTCTTTTTATTTTACAACTTCGTTTCAGCGCTATATGTTTAAGATACTCAAAACTCAGAAAATGGCTTTTCATTTTACATTTAATTTAACACATACAGGATTAATCATACATTTCCCTTTCGTTTTTCTTCCACCTCTTTTCTTTTTTATCCGAATTTTTGCGAATGAATTGGGTTTAGCATTAGTTTAAAGAGATCGTAACAAGCAAATAAATAGAAATGCTTCTTTGTGTCCCCTCATTCAGTAATCAACTTCTCCAATTTTTGGAAAACGTCCAAAAACTTAAATATCTGCCATAAAAAAAGATAAAGTAACAAACATATTACGCTGGACGGATATGACGTAAGCTGAAAGAAAAATTCAACATAATCCTTTTTCTTCTTTTTTACCAGTTTTAAGAAAGGAGGAAAAGAGAGTTTTAAAAAAAGTAGGAATTCTTTCAACAGAGCTGAAAGTGAAATTTGAAATTCTTTTTTCTTAACTTTCCGTTTTCTCTATTCAGCAGAAAACGTTATCATTTAATTGGTTCTACCCGTTCTAGTAAAACACATTTATTATCCAAATGCTCTTTTTGACATTGAAAGAGAAATAAATGGGTTTTAAATAACTTAAAGGAGAGAGGATTTAGGAAAAATTGGAGTTGCTTCGTTCAAAGGTCTTGTTAGCATTTTATCGGTCCTAATTCATGAATTTTAATTGCAGGATGCATTCCTAACCTTTAAGGGAAAATACGACATAAAAATTTTAAATTTTTGACTAAAAAATAAAGTAGATTGAGACGATTCTAAAAATATACAATTTATGCAGGTTTCGAAATTTTAAAAGACAGAAATCTTTCATTAAAAAATGCAAACGATCACTAGGAAGTCCACCAGTTTAGAAGGGGCAAATGTCTGGTAGGATTACAATAAAGTCATATCAGCTGGTAAAACGTTATGTTCATAAAGATTCTTTGTCAGAACCTGTTGTATTAGCTATTAAAAGTGTGTTTATAA